AGGGGAGGGGAGGGGAGACCCGGCTGAGGAGAAGACGGGGCTGGAGGGTGCGAGGCGGGGGCCGGCCTGAGGAGAAGGGGGCGGAGAGGCGACCCGGGCTGCCGGGCCGGGCGGCCGAGGGGCAGAGAGGATGGAGAAGAGGACGCGCCGGTCGCGAGCGGCGCCCCAGGCTGAGCGCAAAGTGGCCGAGGGGCGCGGAGAGCTGGGCTGGACTGGCGGTCCCGGACCCTGGAAGGAGGGTGAGGGGAGACAGCCGCCGACCTGAGGGGCCGCGGAGGAAGAAGCTTTGTTCTGGATTTAGAAAAAGAAAAAAAGAAAAGAAAGTCAAGGTGGGAGACTGGAGGAAACTGAGGCGCCTGTGAAGGGATTAGAAACCCGGCGGAGAGCCTGGGGCCGGGAAGCAGGCAGCCTGTGGGGTGTGAGAGTAACAAGGGAGCTGCCGGGTGACGAGACGCCGAGAGGAGTCAGGTCCAGCCCCGGACCCCCGCCCGGAGGCAGCCGCGGCCGGGTGAGAGGTGCGGGCGGGGCGGGGTTAAAGGTGCCGGGAGAGCTGGTGGGGGTGGGGGCGCCGGATGGAAGCCCCTACGCGCGCCCCCGCCCGTCCCCTGCCCACTTGGCAGTGTTTGAGACGCATGTGGCTTCCGATTTTCCCTTTGAAGTCTGTGTGGTTATAATTTTGCTTTATTTTAGGCCCGGGAGCTATAATAATCCTAATAATAAACTTCATTTTATGGAGTATCTTTCATTCTAGCGCATCACAGAACGCTTTAGAGATCCTAATAGTAGTTACAAAATTAAATAACACATTAGAGTTGCAGGCAGCCCAGTAGCAATGCCTGCTGGAACACCACGGAGCTGTAGGCAGCAGAGACAAGGTGTTGCCCTCAGGAAAGAGGTAGGCATCTTTCTGAAGGGTATCCCAGGTGAATGCCTTTGCAGGATTTTTCTCAGCTTGGGCCGCCACACACGCTCACACGCTCACACTCACACTCACACCCACACCCACACCCAGACCTGTGAGACCAAACCTTTAATTAATGTAACAGCTGTCAGGAGAGCTGATGGGAATTAAGGAATGAGCTTGTCTTTTAACTGCTTGTTCAGTGCAGGTGAAGGGAATAATGGGTGTTGGGAATGTCAGGCTCCCTCCATGAATAATTTGTTGTAAGAATGTATCACTGTGCTGTCAAACTTACTTCTTAAGTATTACTTATGGTTCTGTATTTATCCTGCAATATTTTTAGCTCTTAAAAAAGGCTGTGGCTGGGACATTTGTTGCTTCCTCCTCCCTTCTCTCCCCCATCTAGACCTAGTAACACAAAATTGTGCTGTCAGATACACTGGTTATTAAAATATCACTCTAGAAAATTCCGCTCTGCCTAGATAGTCTTAGCAGAGCTCTTAATTGTAAAGCGTAGAAAATTATTATGTGACCTGTTAGAGGTGTTAGTTAATGCTACAGTGGTAATACTGCAATATATAAATGTACAAATCAACACTTTGTGCACCTTAAACATATACAGTGTTATCTGTCAGTTACATGTCAACTTTTTAAAATCGTAAAGCATAAAAAGAAAATGTCAGAATGGTTTAGAATTTGATGAAACTATGGGCTTTGTTTCTGAAAATGTTGTTGATGTCAGTGTTACTACTAGTTTGTACAGTTTTCCGTGTGACGTCCAGTTCATGATCTGTTGTTTTTAATCCTGATTATATGTGCAGTGACTCCTTTTATGAGACTTTCTTTACATACTTAGGGCAAAGAGGTTTCATTGTTCTTGCAAATCTTTTTTGCAGAGAAGTTTCAAGTAGAATCCCAATGTACAAAATAGACTAAATGTCCCTGGAAAAGATATAGTTGAGAGGGGAAGAAAGAGATAAGTAATAGCGTAACATTCCTGAGAAGATGTTATGCACTATTACATGCAAAAGAAAGCAAAGATAGAATGAATACAACTCTTTCAAATTAGGCAAAGTCATCAGCTGTGAGTTGCCTTGGAGATGGGAGGGACAGAAGTCCAAGGTTTGAAAGAAGTAGGAAATATTTGAAATAAGTAAATAGCTACAAGAGAGAGCATGCAGTGGGAGACACAGTAGGATTCTCTAGCAGTATGGAAACCTCATTGAAGTCAGTGGTCATGAACATACAGTGTGGTTAGCCATCTGCCTTGGACCTTCTGTAGTAGTGCTCAGCTGCTTTGGCACCAGTGTGTGTTGGAAGCTAATAGAAGGCTTCATTCAGGGTTAGGGTTTGCCAGGTAAGTAACGAAATGCCAGAGGAACAAAGGTGCTTAGGGTGTTAGACAAAGTGTTGTAATGATGGCTCATGAAATTTCAGCTGGATAGAGTAAGAGTGAAAAAGGAAAGAGCTATTTGATGTATTGGTCAACAAATAGCTGATGGTATGTGGTCAGTGGAATAGTGGAGCTGGACCCAATAGAGTTGAATACTTGACCTAGAGTGACTGATACAGCAAAGTGGAAGGGCAGGGGATTGTGGGCACAAGGTCTAGGGTGTGGCAGTGGTGATGTGTGGTGGAGGAGGTGATTTTTTTTTTTCTAACAGTTTCCCTTGCCATCTCAAGATATTCTTCAAATATTCTGTGGCTAGAAAGAGGAATAAGAAGAGATAGTAAGAACAGTAGGAAATTTTTCAAAATCATACCTAACCCATATTTCTTAGGTCAATTATGTCAGATAGTAAGGCCCCTAAAACTTAAAATGAATGAGATAGTATGTTCCTTTGTTCACTCTTGGGTTTTTGCACTGTAATAAGATGCACCTGAACTTCTAGTGTTTGAGTTCACTGTACTCTTTTTATTGAAGTATAGTCAGATCACTGTTCACTCTTACCTGAGCAGATAGATCCAGTCTTCAGTAAAAAAAAAAAAAAACAGGGTAGAGTTACACCTTCCAAATCAATGAAACATTTACGGGAAGTTCAAATAAGATCTCAGAAGTGACAGGACTAGCTTTATGCTAAGATCTGCATAAAAGTGACTTAACCTGCACGACATTGTAAAATTATTATAAATCAATTAAAAAATGTTAAAAAAAAAGGTGACTTAACCTGGCAACAAAAAGTTAATGTGTTGGTTCTCTCTGGTGCATTATACATCGTATAAAAGTCTTGATTATAATGTTTTTACTGCAGTTTTTTTAAATGGACGAAATACATTTTGAAAGTAGAACTTCTGGAGCTGAAAGGTGCTGCAGAATGTAGTTTGAAAACCACTGCAGTAAACTACTAAGGGGAAGTTTAAGGATTCAAACCCAAACTTTATCACTTACTAACTCTGACTTTGGATAAGTTACCTAGCCTCTCTATTTTCAGCTCCTTTTCTGTAAAATAGGGATAGTGATAGTATCCATCTCAATGGGTTATTGTGAGATTAAGACATGTAAAACATTTAGAACAGTGCCTGACACATAATAGGTGCTCAGTAAAAGTTAAATATTGTTATATTGCTGTTGTACTTTATAACAGGTGTCAGAATCCCAGTTTTGAAACTAAAGCTTAGAACTGACACATTTTCGTTATTTAGATGTTCTTGGAAATAAAAAAACATCAAGAATGATATGGCCATGCGTAGCACAAGTCAAATTTTTTTTTTCCCTCTTGGCTTTGGACTTCTCCATCACTGTTCCTTCTCTCAGTCTCTCATTTTTATATTCTAGTCTCTACTTCTCAGCTTCTACTTGAACTGCCTCAAAAGGAAATGAAATATCCCCAAACAAAAAATAGAGTAACTTCCTAAAATCTCGACTAATAAACTATATTACCATAAGATTATGGACCATGCTTCATACTGACAGCTTTTGGTTTGTTTTTATAGTATTGGTCCAAATACAGAAAAAGTATGTTCGTTTAATTGTCATCTGTGTGATGGCATTTCCTGAGTTTGTTCTAATCACTTGTGGATAACACATAAACTTTTGAAGATATGAGACAAATAGATATTACATATATGGGGAAAATACATGGATGGGCACTTTATTAAGGATTGTTAGCAGTTTCTGTTAATATAATAACAAATATTAAATACTAGGTGAATATAATGGCAAAATTACATTAATTTTGCTATGCTGGTGTCAAATTTCTGCTAATTATTGAAACTCAACATCAAAACAGTATCTTTCATTTTATATAGTGCT